TATGAGGTTGTCGCGCGGCTTCGGCTCCGAGCGTGCCGCGCGCGCCCTTTTTCCCTGCGCGCCGTGCCTCTTTTTCCTTCCCATCCGACATCCATCTCACTCGCAATTCACTTGTCTCGCACATGCGGCACAGAGGTGCAAGCGGCAGCAGCGGCCAGGGCTCAAACCAACAACCTAATCCGTTCAGACCAAGGAGGGAGGTGCCCAGCCTCGGAGTCGTAAGGGATGCGCGCTGCCACTGCGCCACGCAAACTGGAAAGCCGCTGGACTAAGCTGGCCTCACTTGTCTCGAGATCTCCAGGCTGGCTGCTTGCCATTGGCCGTCACAGCCTCTGGAGAGGTCCTGCCACGCAACGTGGGCAGACCTGGGGGATGCTTGCCTGGCCTTGGGCTCCCTCCCTGCCCCTGGCCCTCTCCAGGGCTGCACCGCAGTGTTATGTGTTATGCCCTTGGGGTCCTGGGATACCGCGGGCGGCCAAGGACGGTGTAGGGCTTGTGCGGAGAGGTCAGGGATGAGGAGGAGTGGGATATCGATGCTGTACCAGTCTCCAGTGAGAAGAGGATATAGTACATTCGACGAGGAGCCTTCCGAGGGCCTCCTCGCCGTCCTGCAGTATTTATACTGGCAGCCTCGGATCTTTTCCTCCTGCCGCATGGCCAACTGTGGCAATTGCCGCTCGGCCCCAAGGGCGCGGCCCTGGCCTCGGGACTCGGGCCGCCCCGCAGACGTCAGCCGAGGTGCGGCCTGACACTACTGTCTCCCTCAACCTCTCCTGGTACACCACGCTGCCTTAGGCCTACCTACGGTTAGCAAGACCCCTAGGGCTTAACACACGCCTTTGTCCACATCCTCAAAGCTCTTGACAGCCGCATCCTTCTCAAGCTTGCTAAGAGGACAGCTGGCTTGCTCTCAGAAGGAAGCGGTCGCAACGGCTTCAGCAACCGGCTCCCTTTCAGCAGCCATGCTGATTGGTCATCCGGCTTCAAGTGCATCAAGGCGGCAGCACTGCCAGCAGATGCCCCTGCAAAACAGGCTGCTGGCACTTGCAGCTGTCTGTGCAACCCAGGACAGCACCTGATAGATGGCAAAACATGCCTGGTCTGCCTGCATCTGTTGCTGCTGCGCTTGCAAGCACCAAAAAGCAGGCAAGCTTGTCAGATGCCCTTGAGCCAAACAATGCAGCAGCAAGAGGATGGCTGGCCATGGTGATGTGTAACGGTCGACCTAGCGGTGCGCAGAAGATTGTCCGAGGGGCGGAGAAGTCTCTGCGCGTCGGAGGGCGATCGCTTCGGTGCTCCCGTCAGAGGCGCGAGCGAGGTTCGGGAACGGCGGGTTGATACCGAGGGCGACTGTGAGCACCGTTGGCAGGCGTCCACGGTCAAGGAGGACTACGGAAGTGAGCTGGCGTGGTGATCTGTCGATAGACATCGCAATTGCTAGACAACGGTAGCCTCGGGCTCTCACGTCGATGGAAGACGAGCAAGCGGTGAGGACTGGTATTGACTAGACTGGATGAGGGGCATCCAGTCTACCGACGCGGAGTAGGACTAGGCTATATACTGTCTACCTACGGCGCCGAGGCATCCCTGCCTCGACCAATCAGAAAAGGCCCCTATTGTCCCGTTGTCCTCCATTGTCATCCCAGGGCGTTGCTCCGAGGTGGGACGCCACCGTTGCAAACAAGCCAAATGGGCGAGAGCTGGATTCGGGAGGTGGTGGTGTGCTGGCAGGGGGGGGATGCGCGCGCGCGAGACTAAAATACAGGTGGGGCTCGGAAGTTGGAGAAGGAAAAATGCCAGACGCGCTTCGGAGCCGTTGGCAGAGCCCCCAACCCGAAAAGGCTCCGTCCCGGAGCCGAAGCTCTCGGGCGGGAAGAGTGCTGGCTACGGTGACGGGGATGGGAAGGACAAAACGGAGACGGAACTCGGAACTGGAATCGGAACCGAAACGACGAATCATGTGGAGGGCGGCTAGAGCTCGGGAGACTCATCGTTGGTCTCGTCGTGGGTGGAGTCGAGGTCGGCATCGTCGTCCAGAAGGGCTGGCCAAAAGCGCTTGAGACGGCGTCGGTGGGCTTGCTCAATGTGCGTAGTGTCGGCAAGGAGCCGGATACGGTACGATCGGCGGAACTTAGCCTCGACAACGTATGGGCCTGTCCAGCGCGGCGCGAGCTTAGCGGCGGTAGCGTAGGTCGAGCGCAAACGAATTTTGTACTTGAGGACCAGATCCCCTTCTCGGAAGTCCTCGGGCTCTCGTCAAGGTGCAGATGTGCGCAGCTGCCGATCTTGACTGCCGAGATGGCGGAGCTGTGCTCGCTCGCGGTCGGCGTCGACGAATGCGCGTGCCAGCTGTCGCTGGTCGATGGTAGGCTCGATGGTCGCGGCAACAAGATCCTCGCGCGGATAGCGCGTGAGGCCGTAGTGCAGCTGGAGCGGTGAGAGATCGGCGAGCTCTTTCATAGGGTGCCGGTTGATGGCGCGGAGAGCTTCGTCGAGATTTGAGAGCCACTGCGCGGGTGCGGTCTTGCTCGTTGGAATCTCGGCGGGGGCGGACAGCTTCTTCAACTTGTCGAGGAGGGAGCGGTTGGCGCGCTCAACCATGCCGTTGACCCATGGGGCGTATGCCGGCGTGATGTGGTGCAGGGTGCCGACGCTCTCAAGGTAGATCGCGACCTCTTGACAGTCGAAATGGGAACCTCCGTCGGTCACGAGCGTGTGCGGCAGGTGTCCGAGCGCCTTGCGTAGCGACGCGAGCGCTTTGACAACCTCCTTTCCAGTCGTGGCGCGCACCAGAAACGCCCAAGTGAAGCGCGAAAAGTAGTCGATGATGACCAAGAGCTTGCTGATGCCGTGAGAGGTCGGCAGCGAGACGAAGTCGGCGGCCCATGTTTCCATCGGCGAAATCACAACGACGGGACTGAGCGTCGTACCCTCGCTTGGGCCAAACTGCTGACACGTCTGGCATCGCTTGACGAAGTCGGCGACGTCGTGAACGAGACGGGGCCAGGTGAGACGCTGTTGGAGGCGGAGCTTGGCGAGGATGGTGGCACGGCCGTAATGGCCCTCTCGGTTGTGCGCTGCAAACGGACCAACGGGCGAGAGCTGGAATCGGAAGGTGGTGGTATGCTGGCAGGGGGGATGCGCGCGCGCGCGAGGCTAAAATACAGGTGGGGCTCGGAAGTCGGAAAAAGAAAAATGCTAGACGCGCCTCGGAGCCGTTGGCAGAGCCCCCAACCCGAAAAGGCTCCGTCCCGGAGCCGAAACTCTCGGGCGGGAAATGCTGAGACTGGAGCGGTGACGGAATTGGAGCGGGGATGTGGCGGGAGCAGAACGGAGGAAACGGAACTCGGAACTGGAATCGGATCCGAATCGTTGGAACATGTGGAGGCTCGGGATCACGACAGGGCCTCGTCGTCGGTGGCCTCATCGAGAGTGGCATCGAGAGCGTCGAGGTCTGCGTCGTTCTCGGGAAGCGCCGGCCAAAAACGTTTGAGGCGTCGGCGATGGGCTCGCTCGATGTGGGCTGGATCGGCAACGAGTCGGATGCGGTACGACTTGCGGAACTTGGCCTCGATGACGTATGGGCCTGTCCAGCGCGGCGCGAGCTTGGCGGCGGTAGCGTAGGTCGAGCGCAAGCGGCTTTCGTACTTGAGGACGAGATCTCCCTCTTTGAACTCCTCAGGCTCGCGTCGCGGCGCTGACGTGCGTAACTGGCGGTCTTGGCTGCCGAGGTGACGGATCTGGGCGCGCTCACGATCTGCATCAACAAACGCGCGGGCCAGTTGGCGCTGGTCAACGGTGGGCTCGATGGTCGCAGCGACGAGGTCTTCGCGCGGATAGCGCGTCAGCCCGTAATGTAGCTGCAAGGGCGAATGGTCGGCCAGCTCCTTCATCGGGTGCCTGTTGACGGCTCGGAGTGCGTCATCGAGGTGCGGTAGCCACTGGGCGGATGCGGTCTCGCCGATAGGGACCTCTGTTGGCGCGGACAGCTTCTTGATCTCGTCGAGGATGGAGCGGTTGGCGCGCTCGACCATACCGTTGACCCATGGAGCGTACGCTGGCGTGATGTGATGCAGTGTGCCGACGCTTTCGAGGTAGACCGCGACCTCTTGACAGTCGAAATGAGAGCCACCGTCGGTCACGAGCGTGTGCGGCAGGTGTCCGAGCGCCTTGCGTAGCGACGCGAGCGCTTTGACGACCTCCTTGCCGGTGGCGCTGCGGACCGGGAACGCCCACGTAAAGCGCGAGAAGTAGTCGATGACCACAAGTAGCTTGTTGATGCCGTGTGACAGCGGGAGTGAGACGAAGTCGGCGGCCCACGTCTCCATCGGCGAGATGACGACGACGGGACTGAGTGTGGTCCCTTCTGTCGGTCCGAACTGCTGGCACGTCTGGCAGCGCTTGACGAACTCGGCGACGTCGTGGACAAGGCGCGGCCAGGTGAGGCGCTGTTGGAGGCGTAGCTTGGTGAGGATGGTGGCACGGCCGTAATGACCCTCTCGATCGTGCACTTGGCGCAGGATGTCGCGGCCCTCCTTCCGCGATACAACGCGGAGCGGCCAGAGTGCCGAGCGGTACCAAAGTTGGCCGTCCTTGACGAAGTAGAGGCGTTGGCGCCGGAGTCGGTCGCGGGTCACTCGGTCCTCGGGCATCTCGAGGAGCAGGAGGAATCGTACGGTAGCCTCGAGCTCGTCCCCTTCAAAGCGCTTGAGCAGGCGCTCCGCGGTCTCGTCGATGCGCAAGTACTCGTCGTCTCGAGGGACCTTGGGTAGCGTCTTGAGCGACAGCGACAGCAGTTCGCAGTCCGTAGTCTCGACGGGCTCGGGCGGGTCATCGGAAGCAGCGGGTGGCCGGTGGCTGAGGCCGTGAGCGAGCTGGTGGCTTCGGCCAGAGACATGCTCGACGCGGATGATGTCGTGGCGGAGCAGCTCCTCGCGCCAGCGGGCGTGCGCATTCGGGAAGCGATCCGAGTCGAGAATCTGCTTGAGGGCTTGGCAGTCGGTAACGAGGACGATAGGCTGACCAAACGTATACGGCGCAAACTTGTCCAGGGCGAACTTCGCTGCCACGAGCTCTCCGAGATGCGCCGGGTATCGTTGCTCTCGCTCTGTGTTGCGCTTGCTGGCGTATGCGAGCGGAAAGATGACGCGCTTGACCTTGGGCTTGTCGGCGGTCGACGCCGCAGTCTCGTCGAGCGGCTCATGGATCTCAGTGTCCTCGATGGCGTCCCACCGCTTCGTGGCTGGATCTTGTTGGACGAGGTACTCTTGCAGCAGAACGGCACCGATGCCTTCGCCGCTCCAGTCCGAGTGCACAAAGAACGGGCGGCCATCGTAACGCGGCTCGCGGACGACGCGACAGTTGACGAGCTGTTGCTTGACTTGCAGGAACGCGGCATCGTGGCGAGGGCCCCAGAGGTCATCGAGAGACCTATCGTAGTCATCGACGTTGCGGGTGAGCTCGTCGAGCGGTGCAAAGTGCTTGGCGAAGTCGGGCACCTTGCTGCGCAGATACGAAGCTGTGCCGCGGAACTGCATGAGCTCGCGTACCGTAGAAGGCTTAGGCCAGTCGACGATGGCGCGAAGGCGCTCGGGATCGACTCGGATACCGTGCTGGCCGACAATGTGGCCGCAAAACTGGACCTCCTCGTGGAAGTAGGAGCACTTCTTAACCGAGAGAGTAAAGCCGACGTCGATGCAGCGGTCGAGAAACAGTCGATTGAACTCGTAAAAGTCGCCGTAGCTCTGCTTGCCGCCACCGCTGTCGTCCATCCACCAGGTCGTGTCGCAGTCGAAGATGTCGCCGAACGCCTCGACGATGAAGCGGTTGAAAACGGACGGCGAGATCTTAAAGCCGAAGGGCATGACCATGTAAACGACGTAGCCACGGCCAGGCACCCAGGTCGTTGAGAGCAGCATGCCGCAGGCGGAGAGAAGCGCCACGAAGAAGGCGGAACAGCCATCCACCTTAAAGACGTAGCGCTTGCCCGAGAGCTTGCCCATCTTGACGTCCATGTCGCCTGGGTAGAAGGACTTGTCGCGCATGTACTTGTTGACTCCGGCGTAATTGGTGACAAGGCGCCACTTCTTCTCGGCGGGCGGTGGGCGAGCGAGGGCGGCTGGATCTGGCTCGGGGATCGTCGGATCGTGTTCGAGGCCGGCCTTCTTCAATGCAGAGTTGACGATCTGCTTGAGCACCTCGAGAGAGACGGGAGGGTACTCCGACGATGGCTTCGGCACTATGCGCGTCTCGGATACGACGCTGACCTCGTCTTCAGCGATGTAGCGCATGATGTTGTTCGCCATATATTCGTCGACGATCTTATTGAAGAACTCCTGTTGCGGCGGAGAGAGCGGCTGCTGGCGGCCTCGATGCGTCGTCGGCGGCGGCTCGGCGGTGAGCTTGGGATCGCAGACGACGGCGCGGTTCTGCTTGCAGTCGGCGAGTGACTCCGCGAAGGCGAGGTGCTTGGCCTTGAGGAGCGCCTTGAAGTGCTCACGCTCAGCTGGAGTGCCGACGCTGCCGAAGCGGGCAGCTATGGTGTCGGCGACTCGTTGCGCTCGTTCATCACTGTCGTCGTCCGGTCGGCCGCTAAGACGGAAGGGCTGGAAGCGATCTCGGTAGCGCTGACGCTCCGCAAGGTAATCCGCATCGTCGTTGGTCGACGGGTAGAGCTGTTGAAGACGTTGCAACTCCTCCGGGTCGACGGGCGTTTCCGCGGGCTGGACGGTGTACAGGGATGCGGCGGAGGCAGTGGCGTCGGCTGACTCTTCACTCTCCCCTAGCTCAACATCGTCTTCGAGCGGGATCTCAATCTCGTCTGTCTTGTCATACAGCGGGAGGGCTGCGTCAAGGTCTCCTTCGATCGCGGGCGGCGGTGCGGTGGAACAGCGGTCAAGCCCGTGCAGGGCGAGCAACTCGAGTTCCTCAACGTTGGCGTCCATGGCATCCTCGGTCAGACGGAGAGCGTCGAGCGGCGTCTCTGGCAGACCCGGCATGTACGCCTGGCGCTCGCTCTCCAGTCGGATCCATCGTCTGCCGTCGGTCGTCTTGTCCGGCATCGGAATGAAGGCGAGCTCAAGTCGGTAGAAATGAATCATCCCGATTTCGGCTTTCCAAGGCTTGCCAAAGAGCAGCGCGCCGGGGTAACCTCGTAGCACCTCGAAGGACTGCTTGACGGTGCGTGAAAGGTCCTGCTTGTTGCCGACGCAAACTGTGAGCTCGACGCTGCCGTCTGACTTGACGACCTTGCCGTTGCCGAGCTTGGCGTAAACGTTGCTTGGGCGGAGCGTGACGGGTCCGTAGGCACCGAGGAAGTCATAGGAGGCGACGTTCATCATGGCGCCGTCGTCGAGCTCTGCGTCGGTGGCCGTGACATGACCCGTCGACTCGTTGAGGACCTCTGCGTAGACCGCGAACGGCGTGGTTTTGCCGCGGAGCGCTGCTTGCTCCATGGCGCGGAAATCGATGAGCGCTTTGATGCGACGACGCTGGCGGCGCGACGGTTGCGGTTGAACGATGACGGCTTGTTGCTGCTGGTCGGGCGGAACTCTCTCTCTCGGCTCCTCTCGGTGGCGACGCTCTGACTCGCGCTCGGACTCGCTCGCGAGCGGCTCTGGCGTCCCCACGGTAACCTCTCCCCTCTCCTCTTCTCGTGCTTGTGGCGCCTGGGCCCTTACTGGCCTGGGCTCGGACTCGGCAGCCGGTGCCGGCGCAAGGCGGCGCGGGATGGAAGGCGCAGGCCTCGCGCTTGGACTCGGTGCGTGACTTGGCGCTGGACTTTGAGCTGGGCCTGGCGTTGGGACTGTGGGCGGTAAAGGTGCCGGAACGGGTGCGGTAATCGGAACTGGGGCCGGCACTGGGAGTGGATGCTCGGGCGGTGGAGGCGTGAACACGTCCTCAAAGCCCGGTGTCACGTCACGACGTTGCGGGCGGCGAATGGCGGCGAGGTCAGGACGCTGCTCGTCGAGCTCAGCGAGCGCAGTCGGAACATGCTGACGAGCGCTGTTGGGATCGGAGAGCGGCGGACGTCGAAGGAGCTGGAAGGCCGGGCGCGGCGGAAGAGAGGCGGGATGACTGAGGGTTGCGCTCGACAGGGGTAATACGGTCCTAGGAGGCGAGCGGTTCTCCGAGGGCCCGCTCAGTTTCCCGACGACAGAGGCAGACCAAGGGCTCGTCGCGCGTAGTTGATGTCGCGGCCAAGGTCGTTGCGGAAGGAGATCTCCGCCTGCGTAAGCGGCGTACCGGTGCACGACGCCTGCTGGTGGCCTCGATGACCGCAGCGGTGGCATTCGGTCCTGTCAGCAGGCTCGGTGCCAGGGGCCAGGGGATACTCGTCTTCCGTCGTAGGGCGCGATACGGTGCGAGGATGGCGTTGCTGGTAGGCCGCCTTCTTCTGCTCGTATATGCGATGGCCGTCGGGCGTGTCTGGGTGCGTTGACTGGCCGTTGCGCAGCAGCACAGCGAGACGCTCACGAGCGGACAGTGAAGCCAGCGGGCGCGTCGGGGAGGGAGTCGGGCTCGGTGGGTACGGAGCCGGACGTTGACGGGGCGGGCTCGGTCGGTAACTGGGACCAGCGCCGTTGTAAGGAGCAGGGCCGTTGGACGGGTTGTACGAGCCGTCACCGATGCGACGCTGAGCAGGAACGAGGACCGGCGCAGACTGCTGCCAGAAGTGGCGCATCTGGTCGACGTCGACCTCGACCTCCGCGTACTTGTCGGCCGGGCGCTTGAGATAATCCCAGGACTCTTCGATGCGCTCGAGTTCACCAATGCGGTTGATCTTGCGCTCCTCGTCGATGGCCTCCACGAGCTGCGGGTGATTGACCTTGCGCATCGCCGCGACGACGTCGGCTACGTTGGTTGTGGTGCCCGGAAGCGCCACGGTCTGACGGACAGCGCGAGGCAGGCCGTGGATGAGGTGCTCGGCACGGAAGCCCTGGACGACGTGCTTATTGCTCACGCGGCGATCGGCAGCGGCGATCTCATCGAGGAGCTTATCGTAGCTCTTCTTGTCCTTGATAACGTCGTACTTGCTGAGTTCGCTCGCCTTGGTCTGGAAGCGGAGGAAGGCGCCAAAGCTGTAACCATCGATGGCCTCGTCGCCGTACTTGGCGAGGAACTCTTTCTCGATGGCCCTGAAGGATGCTTGTGTACTGTCGTCGAGCCCATCGAACCACGTCTCGGCGTCGTCCTCCATCAGCAGCTTGAAGACGAGCGCCTTCTTGCTGTCGTCGTCGTACTTGCGGTCCAAGCAGTAGAGCTCGAACTGTCGAAGCCATTTGCGCGCCGGCTGCTCGACGGGCTTGCCACGATACGGTGCAGGCATGCCGCCAAACGACAGGCGGTCACGCTCGCGCTCGCGCTCGAAACGGTCCTCGTACTCGGCCATGGTGCGGTTGAGCTCAAGCTGAGCGGCGCGGAGTGCTTCCTTGGTCGCCTGGAAGGCCTCACGGCGCAGATGACGGAAGGTACGGTAGTCGAGCGGGAATGGCGCTCCGGGCAGCGACGCGGTAGAGACAATGGAAGCTGTCGATTGCGCGGTTGGCTCGCGGGAGCGGATGGATGGAAGCTCCGAAAGCGTCGAGACTGGACTTGAATGATACGAGGGCGGAAGAGGGACCGACGCCGCGAGTTCGAGAGTCGACAGCTGAGTCTCTGGAAGGGGGGCTGGCGAGAGGCGAGACGGCGTGGCCACCGCGGCGACGGCCTGACTAGAGCCGTACGATGGGAGGCGCGATGTTGGGAGTCGGGCGACGGGACGAGAGGCGTGGTCGACCGGAGTAAAGACCAGAGGAGGCGGCCTACTTATGGTCTCGTATTCGCGTTTGCGGGTATCCGGTCGAGGTGCTTGGAGTAGAGGCGCGAGAGCGGCGGCTTCTGCCTCGGCGGATGCGGTTGCCTGAGTACGGCCCGGTGAGGTCTGGGCCCTTTGCGGAGTCGGTCGACGAAGCGGCGATGAAGTCGGACTCGGGGTCAGGGACGGAAGGGGCGAAGAGGATTGCTGCATGCAACGGATCACCAAAAGTAGCCGCTGCGAGCGAGATAGCGCGCAGGGTGTCGCGGAGCTAGGGGAGCGGTGGCCGCTACGGTTTGAGCCGCAGGGTAGGTCGAATCGGTCGAGGACTGCGAGGCGATGAATGCGATGCGATACCGGATTGGGTCGATGAGGAGCTGCGGGCTGCGAGGGGTCGCCGCGAGAGATCGGTGGCGCGCGCGTGCGTCGTCCAAGCTGCGCGAAGCCGAGTCGGATCGAGTCGGATCGATGGAACACTACAGTAGGTCAAGAGAGCTGTGACAGGTCGTCGGTGCGTAGGAGCAAACGGGTGATGGTGATCAATCCCCGTAGGGGTCTCCAAACTGCAAACGGACCAACGGGCGAGAGCTGGAATCGGAAGGTGGTGGTATGCTGGCAGGGGGGATGCGCGCGCGCGCGAGGCTAAAATACAGGTGGGGCTCGGAAGTCGGAAAAAGAAAAATGCTAGACGCGCCTCGGAGCCGTTGGCAGCGCCTGACGCAAGATCTCGCGGCCTTCTCGGCGCGACACGACGCGGAGCGGCCACAGCGCGGAGCGGTACCAGAGTTGGCCATCCTTGACGTAGTAGAGTCGCTGACGTTGGAGTCGGTCTCGTGTCGCTCGATCCTCTGGCATCTCGAGGAGCAAAAGGAAACGGACGGTGGCCTCGAGTTCGTCGCCTTCAAAGCGCTTGAGTAGGCGTTCCGCGGTCTCATCAATGCGCAAGTACTCGTCCTTGTCCGTGGCGCGAGGCAGCGTCTTGAGCGACAACAACTCGCACTCGGTCGTTTCGACGGGCTCAGGTGGATCGTCAGAGGCAGCGGGCGGTCGATGACTGAGGCCGTGAGCGAGCTGGTGACTGCGGCCCGAGACATGTTCGACGCGAACGATGTCGTGGCGCAGGAGCTCTTCGCGCCAACGGGCGTGCGCGTTCGGGAAGCGGTCGGAATCGACGATCTGCTTGAGTGCCTGACAGTCGGTCACCAGAACGATAGGCTGACCGAACGTATATGGCGCAAACTTGTCCAATGCGAACTTGGCTGCGACGAGTTCTCCGAGGTGCGCTGGATACCGCTGCTCACGCTCCGTGTTGCGCTTGCTCGCATACGCTAGCGGGAAGACAACGCGCTTGACCTTGGGCTTGTCGGTGGTTGACTCGACGGTCTCGTCAAGCGGCTTACGGATCTCCATGTCCTCAACCACCTCCCACCGCTTCGTGGCTGGGTCTTGCTGAACGAGATACTCTTGCAACAGGACAGCGCCGATGCCCTCGCCGCTCCAGTCCAAGTGGACAAAGAAGGGACGACCATCGTAACGGGGCTCGCGGACGATGCGACAGTTGACGAGCTGCTGTTTGATCTGAAGGAACGCGGCGTCGTGACGAGGGCCCCAAAGATCGTCGAGAGACCTGTCGTAGTCGTCGACGTTGCGAGTCAGCTCATCGAGTGGTGCGAAATGCTTGGCGAAGTTGGGGACCTTGCTGCGCAGATACGAGGCCGTGCCGCGGAACTGCATGAGCTCGCGAACGGTGGAGGGCTTGGGCCAGTCCACGATGGCGCGGAGGCGCTCAGGGTCGACGCGGATGCCGTGCTGGCCGACGATGTGGCCGCAGAACTGCACCTCCTTGTGGAAGAAATCGCACTTCTTGACGGAGAGGGTGAAGCCGACATCGATACAGCGGTCAAAGAAGGCGCGCATCAAGGTGAAGAAGTCTCCGAACTCCTGCTTGCCGCCGCCTGTGTCGTCCATCCACCACGTCGTGTTGCAGTTGAACAGGTCGCCGAAGGCCTCGAAGATGTAGCGGTTGAAGACCGAGGGCGAGATCTGAAATCCAAATGGCATCACGACGTAGACGACATAGCCGCGGCCGGGCACCCACGTCGTCGAGAGCAACATGCCGCGCGCCGAGAGCAGAGCGACAAAGAATGCTGAGCAGCCGTCCATCTTGAAGATGTACCGCTTGCCGGAGAGCTTGCCCATCTTGACATCCATGTCGCCCGGGTAGAATGACTTGTCCCGCATGAACTTGTTAACACCCGCGTAGTTCGTGACGAGGCGCCACTTCTTCTCGGCGGGTGGCGGACGGGCGAGCGCTGCTGGGTCTGGCTCTGGGATCGACGGGTCGTGCTCGAGACCTGCCTTCTTCAATGCGGAGTTGACGATCTGCTTGAGGACGTCGAGCGAGACTGGCGGATACTCCGACGAGGGCTTGGGGACGATGCGCGTCTCCGATACGACGCTAACCTCGTCTTCGGCGATGTACCGCATGATCTTGTTCGCCATATACTCATCGACTATCTTATTGAAGAAGTCTTGCTGCAGCGGGGAGAGGGGCTGCTGGCGACCTCGATGCGTCGTAGGCGGCGGCTCGTCGGTGAGCTTGGGATCGCAGATGACAGCGCGGTTCTGCTTGCAGTCGGCGAGCGATTCGGCGAAGGCGAGGTGCTTGGCCTTGAGCAGCGCTTTGAAGTGCTCGCGCTCTGCCGGAGTGCCGACGTTGCCGAAGCGAGCCGCGATGGTGTCGGCAATGCGCTGCGCTCTCTCTTCGCTGTCGTCGTCGGGTCGGCCACTCAGGCGGAACGGCTGAAAACGATCTCGATAGCTCTGACGGTCTGCGAGGTAGTCGGCGTCGTCATTGACAAGCGGGTGCAGGCGCTGAAGGCGCTCGAGCTCTTCGCGGTCGACAGGCGCTTCTGCAGGTTGGACGGTGTGGAACGGCGTGGCAGCGGCGGGATTGGTCGGGTCATCGCTTTCTGCCAGTGTAACTTCGTCGTCCAACGGGACTTCGACCTCGTCGTTCTTGTCGTACAGCGGAAGAGCTGCGTCGAGGTCTCCTTCGATCATAGACGATGGCGTAGAAGAACATCGGTCGAGCCCGTGGAGGGCGAGCAGCTCGAGCTCTTCAATGTTGGCGTCCATGGCGTCCTCAGTGAGGCGTAGTGCGTCAAGTGGCGTCTCTGGAAGACCCGGCATGTACGCCTGGCGCTTGCTCTCGAGCCGGATCCATCGACGCCCGTCGCTGGTCTTGTCCGGCATCGGGATGAATGCGAGCTCGAGCCGATAAAAGTGGATCATGCCGATCTCGGCCTTCCACAGCTTGCCAAAGAGGGGCGCGCCTGGGTAGCCTCGCAGTACCTCGAACGATTGCTTAACGGTGCGTGAAAGGTCTTGCTTGTTGCCGACGCAAACTGTGAGCTCGACGCTGCCGTCTGACTTGACGACCTTGCCGTTGCCGAGCTTGGCGTAAACGTTGCTTGGGCGGAGCGTGACGGGTCCGTATGCGCCGAGGAAGTCATAGGAAGCGACGTTCATCATGGCGCCGTCGTCGAGCTCTGCGTCGGTGGCAGTGACATGGCCCGTCGACTCGTTGAGGACCTCTGCGTAGACCGCAAACGGCGTGTTCTTGCCGCGGAGCGCTGCCTGCTCCATCGCGCGGAAATCGATGAGCGCCTTGATGCGACGGCGTTGGCGGCGCGATGGCTGCGGCTGGACGACGACTGCTGCTCGTTGCTGCTCGGGTCGGGCTGATAACTCCTCCTCCCTTCTCTTCTGCTCTTCTCGGTGGCGACGCTCTGGCCCACGCTCGGACTCGCTCGCGAGCGGCTCTGGCGTCACCCCGATCTCCTCTCTTTCTTCTTCTTCTTGCGCTCGCGCTCGCGGCGCTTCAGCGTGGGCCGGCTCGGGCTCGGCGACTGGAGCTGGAGTCGGCACGGTACGACGCGGGATGGAAGGCGCAGGCCTCGTGCTTGGGGTCGACGGAACTGGACTCGGTGCAGGTGCTTGTGCCGGTTCGGACGGTCGTGAAGTGGTTGGAACTGGTGCGGTAGCTGGAACTGAGGCTGGCACCGGAAGTGGATGCTCGGGCGGCGGAGGCGTAAAGACGTCTTCGAACCCGGGCGTGACATCGCGACGGGATCGACGAATGGCCGCGAGGTCCGGGCGTTGTTCATCGAGCTCTGCGAGCGCGGCTGGAAGATGCTGACGAGCACTAGTCGGATCGGAAAGTGGCGGACGCCGCAAGAGCTGGAAGGCCGGGCGTGGAGGGAGGGAGACGGGAGGGTGTTGCTTGACGCTTGACAAAGGCAAGATAGCCCCGGGAGGCGAGCGGATCTCCGAGGGCCCGCTCAGTTTCCCGACGGCAGAGGCAGTCCAAGGGCGCGACGAGCGTAGTTGATGTCCCTACCGAGGTCGTTGCGGAAGGAAATCTCTGCCTGCGAGAGCGCCGCGCCGGTGCAAGACGCCTGCTGGTGGCCGCGGTGACCACAACGGTGGCACTCAGTGCCGTCGGCCGGCTCGGTGCCTGGTGCGAGCGGATACTCGTCCTCCGTGGTGGGACGCGAGACGGTGCGAGGGTGGCGCTGCTGGTACGCCGCTTTCTTCTGCTCGTAAATGCGATGGCCGTCCGGCGTGTCCGGGTGCGTAGACTGTCCGTTGCGAAGCAGGACTGCGAGGCGCTCGCGGGCGGAGAGCGAAGCCAGGGGGCGCGTAGGCGACGGGGTTGGACTCGGAGGGTACGGAGCCGGGCGTTGGCGAGGCGGACTCGGTCGGTAGCTTGGGCCGACACCGTTGTAGGGAGCAGAGGGGCCGTTGGGCTGAGAGGGGTACGAGCCGTCGCCGATGCGGCGTTGGGCAGGGACGAGGACCGGCGCGGACTGCTGCCAGAAGTGGCGCATCTGGTCAACGTCAACCTCAACCTCTGCGTATTTGTCAGCGGTCCTCTTGACGTAGTCCCACAACTCCTCGATGCGCTCGAGTTCACCGATGCGGCCGATCTTACGCTCCTCGTCGATGGCTTCCACGAGCTGCGGGTGATTGACCTTGCGCATCGCCGCGACGACGTCGGCTACGTTGGTCGTGGTGCCGGGGAGGGCCACGGTCTGGCGAACGGCACGGGGTAGGCCGTGGACGAGGTGCTCAGCGCGGAAGCCAGGCACAACATGCTTGTTGCTGACTCGGCGGTCGGCTGCCGCAAGCTCGTTGAGCAGCTTGTCCCACTGCTTCTTGTCGCGGATGGCGTCGTACTTGCAGAGCTCCTCGGCCTTGTTCTGGAAGCAAAGGAACGCGCCGAAGCTGTAGCCGTCGATGGCTTCGTCCCCGTACTTGCTGAGGAATGCCTTCTCGAGTGCTTGGAACGACGCCTGTGTACTCGCATCGAGCCCGTCGAACCACGTCTCGGCGTCGTCCTCCATCAGGAGCTTGAAGACGAGGGCCTTCTTCCCGTCATCGTCGTACTTGCGATCCAAACAGTAGAGCTCGAATTGACGAAGCCATTTGCGCGCTGGTTGCTCGACGGGCTTGCCGCGGTACGGAGCGGGCATGCCGCCGAACGACAGGCGGTCGCGCTCGCGCTCGCGTTCAAGACGGTCCTCGTACTCGGCCATGATGCGGTTGAGCTCGAGTTGGGCTGCGCGTAGTGCCTCCTTAGTGGCGAGGAATGCTTCGCGGCGCAAGTGGCGGAACGTCCGGTAGTCAAGCGGGAATGGCGCACCCGGGAGTGACGCAGTGGAAACGATGGAAAGAGTTGACTGGCCAGTAGGCTCGCGAGAGCGGACGGAAGGAGGCTCAGAAAGCGTCGAGATCGTCGGCGCTGGAGTCGAGTGGTACGAGGGCGGGAGTGGAATCGATGCTGCGAGTTCGAGAGTGGAGAGTCGAGCTTCAGGAAAAGGGGCTGGCGAGAGCCGGGATGGCGTTGCCACCGCAGCGACGGCCTGGCTGGATCCGTAAGACGGGAGTCGCGATGCCGGAAGCCGGGAAGCAGGAAGTCGAGCGACGGGACGAGAGGAGTGGTCAACGGGATTGAAGACCAGAGGCGGCGGCCTACTTATAGTCTCGAAGTGTCGCTTGCGAGTCGCTGGTCGAGGTGCGCGGAGGAGAGGCGCGAGTGCGGCGGCTTCGGCCTCGGCGGATGCGGTCGCCTGAGTGCGGCCAGGCGAGGTCTGAGCCCGTTGCGGAGTCGGTTGACGAGGCGGCGACGGAGTTGGACTCGGAGTCAGAGACGGGAGTGGTGAGGAAGACTGCTGCATGCACCAGGTCACCGGAAAGTAGCCGCTGCGAGCGAGGTGGCACGCAGGGTGGCGCGGAACGGGGGAGCGGTAGCCGCTACGGTTTGAGCCGCAGGGTAGATCGGTTTGGTCGGAAGCGATGATGCGGTGGATGCGAGAGATGCGAAGCCGGATTCGGTCGAGGAAGAGCTGCGTGCTGCAAGGAGGTGCTGCGATGGATCGGTGGCGAGGCGCGCGCGTGTGTCGTCGGAAGCCTGCGCGGAGTCAAATCGAGTCGGGATCACTGCTGGTAACGGAACGCTACAGTAGGTCGAAGAGCTGCTACAGGTCGTCGATGGCGTAGGAGCAAACGGGCGATGATGATCACTCCCCGTAGGGGTCTCCAAACTGCAAACAAGCCAAACGGGCGAGAGCTGGATTCGGGAGGTGGTGGTGTGCTGGCAGGGGGGGGATGCGCGCGCGCGCGAGACTAAAATACAGGTGGGGCTCGGAAGTTGGAAAAGGAAAAATGCCAGACGCGCTTCGGAGCCGTTGGCACCGTCGTGCCCGAAGCCTAGCCCTTGGCCCTCGGTGCGGATCCGAAGCGTCCTCCTGCCAGCAGGAGCAACTGCGGAGCCGCACGGTGCGTGCCGACGTCGCCCGGCGCGCAGAGGATTGCTGGCGGCTTGGTGATTCCTCTCCGCGGCCGCGCGGAGAGAATTCACTTCGGCTCCGGAATCCTCTGCTCCGCTGGCCTGCGCCGCTCAGCCCCGATTGGCCAGGGCTGTGACATGATGTATCTACTGCCTCCACAAGTTGTTGCCAACCTGGAAAGCTGTTGCATGCACTCTTCAAAAGCATCACGCAGTTGAACATCAAAACCAAAGATAAGGCACAGAGGATGTTGACTGTGATGCTTGGTACACTCAGGAAAAGACATGGCCAGCCAAGCTCTTTGATGGGGAGGAAGAGGCTAGGCTTCCAGCAAGGATGGCTGTAACAACTGCACTACAAGCTCACATGCACGGAGATGGACATTGGCAGCAGCACCTGAACCACAAGCTTGACCAGATTGCTGCAGGCATGAGCAACGCCAACCACCTTTCATCACTACACCGTCAATGCATCAGCTCATGACAGCATGTCAGAAAGATGGTCTGCAGGTCCCTGGCATTCTGGTACAAACAGATCATGTCTCCTGCCTCTGTTCTTGGTGCGTGGCGGTGCTCGTGTCCAGGCGACAAAGCCAACTGTTGCCACCGCCCAAGCAAGGATTAGTCCGGCGCCCATCAAGCGGGATCAAGGCACAGTCTGGAGAGCATCGCTCAGACATGCACCTCCCATTGACAGTCAACGACACTCTGGTCTGCCTGCGTAGGAAGCGATGGGTTGTTAATCATACAAGCCAGGCTGCTGTGCAGCCTCCGCAGCCGTGTCCAGGGACAGCACGATTCTGTTCTTCCAAGTACTTGCTGAGCTCGACGACCGACATCGATCGCTCTTGTCAGCGCCTTCCTCTTCGCCGGGCGCCACGCTCGCCACACGCGAGAGAATAGGCCTGGTCCGCCCTGAAGCGAGCCGGTGCCACGGTTCGTCGTGACGCGCAAAGATCGTCCCTCAGTCCGCAAGCTGGACGGCGTCGCTCTCCTTCTGACGCTGCTTGCATATCGGGTTACGACCGTCCAGCTTCGTCTCCAGGACGCCGTTGTGCGCGTGTTGAAGCCCTGCGATGCCGTCCAGTGGCGGGGCCGCTCACGTTGAAGAGCACAGCATGTCTGCACCCGCTCGTGCGGCCATTACGATCCACGTTCAGGCCATGTTCCCTTCCCCTTTCATCGTTGACCTGTTGCTTCGGCAGCAGACGAGCTATGCGCTGACGGTGAAGTGTGATGGCATGGCGGCGAGAAGAGTGCTCCCCTCCGCACAGGCAGGGGGTTGGCGTAGAGCGGCGTAGACTTCTGCTTTCCGCGAGTCTCCCTTCGCAGCTCCCTGCCGTGCCTTCCATTGGCCCCTTTCGCAAGTTCTACAAAGGAGATGTCCGTCGGCTTGACCACCACAACTGGCGGCCGCTGCACAGTGCGAGACGTGGACAGGCCAGGGGCGAGGCCGAGGCGTGGCGGAGTCGGGGAGCCCGGCTGGCCAGACCGAGAGGGGTTTTGCAACGGGGGCGCGCGGCATGTGGGTCGGGCGTGTGTCGTGCATCCGCTCGCCGGTATCTCGACGACCATCACCCGCTCGCTCTCAGCTTCTTGTGTCGACCTGGCATTTCAGCGCGCCGCTGGACCTCAGCATGCCGAGGCCGTATAGGCTGGCCTGCGTCGGACTTGGCCACGCCTCACCGGGCACAGATACCGCGCCGCTTTCGCCTACAGGTGGCTGCGCCTCGGCCTGTCAGGGCGTCGCCGTTGCCAGGCCGGGGCATGGTGCTGGGAGAAGGTCCGGGCCTCGCCTGCCAACCAACGCCGCGATGCCTGGGCCGGCGGCTGGGATAACGGACTGACTGCAGGGGCACCGGCCGGCACTGATGGTCGCCCCGCTCTTAAAGCCCCGCCCTGGGTCTACTCCAACCCAGCACGGCCCCCTTTCCATCACAACAAGACCAGGGGATCCTCAACGCCGCCGACTGCCCTGCCATCTACGACCACTCTCCGCGCGACCTCTCAAGCCTCCGCGTCGCCTGCTCAGCCTTCGCACGGCCTTCTCAGCCTCCGCACGGCCTTCTCAGCCTCCGCGCAACCCTCCTCTACCCTCCGCTCAACCGCATCTCTCCGCGCCCTCGAAACGTGTCCACCGCCGCACGACATGCCCTCGTGCAGCAGATCCGGCGGGCTGGTGGCCCTGCTGCTCCTGCCGCTCGTCGCGTTCGTCACCTTTGCCGCGGCCGCCGGTGCTGCTTGTTCTACGACGTCGGCTGTGGTGCCGTCGACGGGCAAGAGCTGGAAGTCGTATGCGGCGCCGGCGGTCGGCATGGGCCAAGGCCAGGGCTGGAGCTCGATCCCCTCTGGCGCCGCCGTGTGCGCCGCGGATCTCGTGCGCGACTTCAAGGTCACCTCGAGCGGCGACACGGTGCCCTACTGGGTCACCAACGAAGTCAAGGGCAGCGTCGACCGCGCCGTCGTCGTCCTGGCGGGCAAGAACCGCGACGGCTGGTCCTACTTCAACCTCATGCGCAACGCCAGGAACCGCGCTGCCGCCACCTACCCGGACGAGATCAAGCGCACGCAAATTGCCATCTACACGCCCATGATCTTTACGCGCGCCGACAAGGCGGCGGGCGCGGCCTCGGCTACCGACGCCTACTGGGCCGGCGACGACTGGGCCAGCGGCCGCGCTGCAATGGGCCCGAGCGAGGCCGCGACGGGGCTGAGCTCGTTCGAGGTCATGGACCGGCTCATTGACGAGATCAAGGCGCAGCACCCGGCGGTCAGGGACATTGTCTTTGCCGGCCACTCGATGTCGGCGCAGTTTGTCAACCGGTACAGCGCCATGAAGACGAGCCCCGACGACGGCGTCCGCGTCTCGTACTGGATCGGCAACCCGGGTAGCTGGCTGTGGATGGAGACCCAGCGGCCCGTCGCCGGCTCGGGCAAGTGCGCCGGCTACGACAAGTACAAGTACGGCCTCTCGGACTCGATCCCGGCGTACGCCAGGCAGCATTACCGCAGCAGCGGCGAGCGGAGCGGGGCGCTGCAGAGGCTGCTCCAGCGAAACGTCCACGTCCGCGTCGGCGCGAGGGACTTTGGACCCGGCGACGTGCGGTGCCAGGCCAAGCTGCAGGGCGCCAACCACCGCGAGCGCGGCACCAACTACAAGAACAGCATCGCCGCGCTCAACGGCGGCAAGCTGCCCGCCGGCTGGAACTTTGAGGTGGTGCCCGGCTGTTCGCACGACAACGAGTGCATGTTCAACGGCAACCTGCGCACGCTCTTCCTGGGCCAGAGCGACGCCGCCGTCGCCCCCGCTGCCGGCGCCAAGACCAAGACCAAGACCAAGGCGAAGAAGAAGAACACCAAGCGGAGCCGCGCCGACGAGGGCGAGCAGGGCGCCGAGGATATCGTGGCCGAGATCGAAGAGGGCGTCTTGCGCAGGGAGAGCGAGGTCAGGCACCGTCGTCGCGGCTCTGCTCAGCACTAGGCTTGCGGCGTGGGTCCACTCGTCGTCCGATCGCGTCTTCATCAGCAATGGGCATAATGTCTTCTTTCGCGCGCGCGCCGCCGTACCGTGACCGGGTCTTTGGACGTATGTAGAGGACCGGCGAAGGGCGCACCTGGACAGGTCGTGTGCTCTGCCCTCCTATCGGTCCGCCTGGCGATCTCACGCAGGACCTGGTATCGGGCGGAGGCAGGCCAGGCCTGGCGGTGTCGGTCGCGAACGCCTCTGTCCCGTCGATCTTCTGGAAGATCCACACAGGCTAGGATAGACACGCGCGCAAATTTGGTCTTGATTGGGCGAGGAGCGCCGGATGCACCTGGCAGATGGCGTGAGGGCGCCGCGCTGCGCTGCGCCTGCCAAGACCAACCCTTTCAGGGCCCGACACGCTGGCGATCCTCGACGAGATGGTGGTTGGACGACGGGAGCCCGCGATAAAGACAGGCCGGCCGCAGGGATGCCACGGCTTTACTACTCTGGAAGCTGAGCCTTTCCGGGACGTCGATCTCGATGCGGGGTACTGCCGTCATTGGCGGCGGCGGCGGCGGCAGCAGTCGGTGAGGCAGGGCCACGTCGAGCGGCTACCTAGCGGATACGGGCGAGCGCCGAGCTCGCTGTCGTTGTGGCCCTTGTGCGATTGGTCGACGAGGCATCGGACCCGACGAGGTCGGTTCATTGCGCGGCCAAATCCACGGCCCGCCCTCGTCGTTTCGTCGGAAGGCTCGGTCGAACCTCGCCCACCGTGCTTCCCACCCCCCACATCATCAGCACCAAGTGACGCTGCCATCGTACGGCCTGACCGGTACGCACGGCGCTTGCTTCTGCTTTGTCTTTCTTCGCACGCCGATGGCGATGAGCGGTACGTCTGTACGTTGCGCGTTGTCGTTGGTCGAGACGGACACAGCTCCGGTACGTGGCAGCGCCGAGGCCATGAAAGGCGCGGACCATGCACCGCAGCCGCTCTCCACCTCCTTGCCGGCACAGCCCCGCCGACCGCCGCGTTGCTGTCAGGCACACGGTGCGCACGAAGATGGATAGAGATGTCTGGTGCGCCGCGCTACGTTGCGGTACGGTACAGCGCCACCCGTCGTCGCGATCGTCGGCGACGAGGCCGCCGGATGGGCGTGGCCTTCGTCGGTCCGAACCGACTGGCGGCAGGTCGAGTCACGACGCCGGCAGGCAGCATGGAGCAGGCGCGAAGACATCCACCGGAAGCCGGCTTCGGTGCGGTGCCCGATGCGCTTGTGCTTGCTGCTGCTTGCTTGCTTGCTTCTTGCTTGCTTGCTTGCGTGCTGCACCTTGCCCGTCCGAGCGATCTCGCCTTCATGCGCCGGGGTGACTCGACCGCCTGCCTGCCTGCCCCTGCCTGCCGCCCCGACCTCGTCGGACGGACAAAGGAGCGCACAGCGTGGCTGGCCTGCTGCCCGCCCCGCCCGCTTTGCTGTCGTCGCCCCGGCCCCCGTCGTCGTTGTCCCATCAACCCGGCCCGGCCCTGTCCTGGCCTGTCGCGCCCACCCCTCATCTCCTTGCTTGCTTGCTTGGCTGCCTGCCTCGCCTCTGCGGTCGACGTGGCGGCGGCGGTACCCTTCCGTTGGAGTCGGATGGCTCCCGTCCATCCTGGTTTACTCCCCCCTCCTTCCAGCGTCGATGCGTGCGTGCGACCAAGGGCACCCACCACCTCGAGACGGCCCTGCCTGCCTGTGTGCGCTCACCTTGGCTCGCCTCCGGAGACGCCGACCGAGCTAAAACGCTCGCGTTGCCGTCACTCTGCCTGCGTGCGATCCGGTCGACCCAGCCTAGCTGCTGATTGGGCGCCGATAAGGCTTTTGTCTGTCGCCCCCGGGGGTGGGGGAAGAAAGGTCGATCTTCGAGCAGCAAGCAGGCAGGCAGGCAGGCAGGCGGACGGACGGGAGGCCAACAAAGAGCCAGGCAGCAGGCAGGCGTCCCAGAGGTGGACCTTGGCTTGCTGCACTCCAGGGCCGAAATTCGGGCGGCTGCTGGCTGGCGCTGGTTCGCGAGCAACGAGGCGAGATGAAACCTGCAGCAGGTCCACAAACATAATCGACCGACCAGCCAGCCGCGCAGGGAGGCAGGCCAACCTCGGCCGCATCCTTCTTCCCATGCACTTCTCTGACAATGCCGCAGGCGATGAGGGTTTGTATTCGAAGGCGCTGCGAGCTTCGGATTTTCGGATACAAGTCGGGTTAGGAATTGAATAGAAACGATCCGACAAGGTTGTATTCGACAGCCCCCGCCTGGCGGAGCAGGAATCAAGGCAGGCACACGCACGCACGAAGCAAGCCAGGCGGGCAGGGCGTCGGTTCATGCGCTGCTGTCTTCTGTCGGGGCACGAAATAGCAAGCCGGCAGGCAGGCAGTCTGGCAGGCAGGCTAGCGGGCTGGCTCAAGGCCGGCGTGGCCCCCCGTTTTTCTCGTCACGGCAAGGCAGCGAGCAGGACGACGACGGGCCAGCAGCCTTGCCTGTCCGCCCGCCGTCCATCGGTCGATCTGCCTCGGTGCCAGCCTGCCAAGGTCGACAGCCCGACACTCGTCTCCTGCCTGCGGTTGCGTGCCCGCTTCGTCTTTGTCGCTCGCTCGCTCGCTCGCTCGCCTGCCTCAGGTCTCCCGCGCCCCTACAAAACCATCTCGCTCCCATCCCGGCCCCACCGAGTCATCTTTTCCTCCCCTCCCCCCTCCATCAGCTCCTCTGGTACCAACCAACCACCACCACCGACTCCACATCCCCGCCGCCGACGTCTGCATCGCGACGATCCTCCCTCACGAGCCTCGTCGCCCGACTGCCTAGATTCCCGGAGCCCCCGTCTCCGTCGCGCCATTTCCTTCAGCCTATTCCACACCACCCACCACGAAGCTGGCCCACCATGTTCTTCTAAACGCTCTTGCAACCAAGAACCAACAAGTTCCTCCTCGTCCATCGAAGAAGGAATCGACTGTCACCAAGACCTCCCCAAGCCGTTCCCCATCTCCCCCTTAACCGATAACCGCTACCGTCATCTCCCCTCCGGGTTGATTTCAACATTGAATTCTCAGGCCCATCCCCCCTTTACACCCTCGACAGCATCTACAACGCTGTCCTCTACTCTGCCATCATGGTTTACCCAACTCTCGAGAAGCAGCTCCCTGGCACCCCCTTCACAGTCACAACCTACGAAAGCCAGCAATCCCAGACCAGCCCCCGCTGCTCCAGCGTCCGCCCACCTCCAGAAGACCTACGATAAGCGTAGCCTTTTCAACTCTTACCGATTCACGCAAGCTCCCACACCGTCAACATCGACGTTGAGCCGCGATCCCCTCAGCAGCAGCCAGCACGACCAGCCGCACCAGTCGCAGCAACACTTCCGCCGCAGCAGCAACCTGCCCGGACACGTGCAAGCTTCCACCACAGCTTCCCCTCACGCCAGCGCCGCCCCGCAGCAGCAGCAGCCGCCCGCGCGAGCATCTCCCCACACCCAAGCCCAAGCGCTGTTTTTCAAGCAGCTCCAAGCCGCCGCTGCAGCCCTTGGTGTCCCCACTACCGAGTCGTCCGACGCCCAACCGTCCAACGCTTCGCACCAGGCCTCGAACCCTCAGGCCCGCCGTCGCTCCCCGTTGACGTCAGTCGCCCAACGACCCGACCCTCTTTCCTTCTTTGAGCGACAGAGGCTCCAGCAGATCCGCTACCACCAGCACGTCCTCGCCTACCTCGCAGCCATGTCGACTCACGGTACCAACGCGCTCGATGGCGCCGCCGCCGCCCTGCCGCCCCTCGCTGGCGCGCAGCTTGCCGGTGACGACAAGCACGACGGAGGTTTTAACGCCACCTTCGGCCTTAACCCCATGTCGGCCGATGACCCTTCTTGGATCGGACACGGCTTCCAGGCTCAGGCCGCCGAGGACTTCCTCTCTTCGCCAGAGTGGACCGACCCCTCGCCTGCCCTCACCGACTCGATGTCTTTCGACCTCGACTCGTGCGACACCAGCCCCCTCCTCCCCATGGACAGCTATGACGGAGAGCACGGCGTTCCCGGCATCGCCGGCGCCCCGCTCTTCTCGCCCATGGACGGCTACGCCTCCTCGAACGTCAGCCCCTTCGAGGCCAGCCACAACGACTTTGGCGGCACCGCCGTCGGAGACTTTGGACCTTCGGAGATGGGCCCCGACTTCACCCTTTTCCCCGAGGCCGCCGCCGAGCGCAAGCGACCCGCCGAGATGGCCTTTAGCCAGGCGCAGCAGCCCGGCCAGGAGGACCTCGCCGTCACGCTCCTTCGCGCGCTCAGCAGCGCCGCGCTGCAGGGTGCCAGCGTCGCCGCTCCGGCGACCAGCGCTCCGATGCCGACACCCACCCCCGCCCACACCAACACCCCCGCCCACACGACGTCGCCGCTCCTGGTCTCGAGCGACATCATCACCCCCGCCGTCGTCGCGCAAGAGCCTCCGACATCGGCGGCGCCTGCATCGTCCACGGCGCCGGCATCGGCTCCTGCCCCTTCGGCAGCCGCTGCCCCTGCTGCTCCGAAGAAGGCCGCCGAGCGTGCCACGAGCCCAGACCTCGCCCGTCGGTCGTCGTCGACCTCGTCGGGCAAGCCCGAGTCGCGCGGCACCAAGCGCCGCTTCGACCCTTCGGACCTGCTGCCCCTTGACGCGCCCATCCAGCCTCGCAAGTACCACACCGTCTCGGCAACTTCGCGACGCGACACGCCCAGCGGTGGCGCCGCGACGGCCGAGGGCGATGATCCTTTTGCCGACGAGGAGGCTGCCATCCGCAAGGAGAAGGACCCGCGCGTGGCCAAGCGACTCAGCAACACCCTTGCTGCCCGCCGCAGCCGTCACCGCAAGGCCGAGGAGCTTCGCACGCTGCACGAGACCATCGACAGCCTCCGCAACGAGGTCGAGATGTGGAAGAAGCGCTGCGAGCGGGCCGAAAAGGAGCGCGACGAGGCTCGCGCCTGATCGCCTCGGTCTTATCCCCCATCCCCACGGCGTTCCCACTCGCGGACATCTTCGCTGATGCCTCTGCGACGTGGATCGCCACCGACCTATACCTATGGACTCGACCCTGTCCCGCTTTTTCCTCGGTTACGTCTCATGCGATCCGTCTCCAGATTCCCGCAGTCCCGAAAGAAAAACGGCAGGCGTCCGCCAGCTAGCTGCCACCGCCAGCCCCCCCAAAAGTGGCGCCCTCGATGTCGAGGGACCACACCCAAAAAAGAAGATCACGATCCTCTATCGCCTCCGTCGTCGTTGTCCACTTCTTTTCGCCCCTTCCTCTTTAGCGTTTTGCCCCTCCCCCTTCTCCCTGACTCTGACCCCGTCGCTCCGATCTCCCTGCCCGTCTTTGCTGAGAATCTATCTCCCTCGTTGTGTTTTCCACCTCTTTCGTCTGTCTTTGCCTGCCGGTCTGCCCATCTGACTTTGATGACTGACCCGACTCAGCTTGAAGCGCGAGTACGCTGTGAACACGACGCCAGCTCGGGTCGGACCGGAGAAGGCGGCTGATGGTGGTGTCGCGCAGACGGCGCCGAGTGGCAGGCCAGAAATTTGTCAGCGTGAGCCTGGCCCTCGGGCCCGGAATGACGCGCAGGAGAGGGCCAGGCTGAATGAGGCCAAGGCCAGGGCCGCAGAGGCCTGATCGGAAAAGGGCCGGCCCAGAAGTTCCTCCACCTGGCGGGCGGCCGTTCGGGGACGGACCTGGGGGCCAGACCGCCGCGACTATTCCAGCCACCACCACCACCACCACCCACACTCCGCCTTTTGCCACACCACGGCCCCACTCACATACACACCCATCGTACAGCCATGTCGTTCCTTCGTCAAGCCACCGGCGTTCTCGTGAGTCCGCTCGCCGTCGTCCTTGCCCCCTTCATTCCTCTCTCTCTCTCT